ATGCAGTCTCTGGAGTGAATTATTCTCCATCATCTCTGTTTCTCCTTTTGATTTAGAAAATGTCATCATTTTTCATGAGTAAAAGCCTAGTGAGGCCAGATGTGTTGGGAAGCCAGATTCACATTCTCTTGAAAATATTAAAAAGTAGAAAGGAAAGTTTCTGACTTTCCTGAAAGGTGCTGATTTTAACTGAGAGATGAAGGAAACCGCCACTCCCACTTGCTGACCTGACCTGGGCCTCCTGGCCAGTTCAGCCACCATAGTTGATGTTCTGGCTCTGTAGCCTTCATCCTCGTGAATGACTACACTCAGTTTTTAGTTTGCTTTGCTATTTCAAGGTTGAGTACCTTCACTGCTGAGTGCCGTATGATTCCTGAGTGTTTGCTAGCAAGTTACTTAGCTTTCCTTAAGACTATAAAAATATAATTTCTTTCTTGCAAAGTTGCATATCAATTTAAACATATGCACACATTCTTACACACTGCCTCCTTTGCTACAAATTGTTTGTGGGGCTTGCTTTCAGGGGCGCAGAGAGTAGTAATTGTGAGAATAAGCCCTATACTCTAACCCCTGCATAATATATGTAGAAACATAATTTGGTAAATTGATTAGAAGCCTCAGAGTTTTGTCTGAAGAATCAGAAAAGAAGTGGCCTCAAAGTGTTTCTCTAATAAGTGGAAGGACGTAAAGCACAGGACACAGTCTAAAAGAGCTTGATTTGAGAGACTCAAGTTGACACGTAAATACTGTGCTGTTGATACATGGAAGTGAGCAGAGCCTTATGGAAATACAAGAATGATATAAGATGGGATCTTTTTTTAGTGATAGCAGCCTCCCATTTGTACACAGAACCTTACTTTTACACAGCACATTACAGATTCTCTTAGCAACCATGAGAGTGGGATTTTGTACTGACTTGTCACTCGTGATTGAATTTTACACCAGCCTTCGTGTCTTCTGTGGACACGAAAAGCATTCATCGGTTCTTGTTTCTTTTTATGTTGCCATGCTCAATCAGCCCCTTCTATTTTGTTCATTGACATACTGAAATTTTAGTTTCAGCCCTTCTCGCCCATAGCTGTGTCTGAAACAGCTTCCTTGGCACATTTCTATTCTAAATCAAAATCAACACCAGAAACATTCAACCTACCAGACAGCAGAATTGTTTCATGTTTTAAAAATATCTGTTCAGTTGCTCTTTTAACAGATATGAGACAATATGGCACCTTCTAAATAACACAGATCACAGGCTCTCAGGGAGAGAGAGAAACACTTACCTGCAGGGTTACTGTAAAGGCTGTCACTTAGGGCAAAAAGCCAGTCTGAACTGAGATTCCCTGGAGAATTACATCAACAGGCTAAAGTCATAAGGCCAGTACACTCATGTAATGAAATGAGAAATATTAGGAAATGTTCCTAGGAAATAGCTTGGGAAGAGAAAGGGCAACAGTTCTTCTCAAAGAAGCTCTCTGGCTCGGACCAGTATAGTATATGCCCTTCTCATCAAGATGATATCCAGAACTTTGTGGCATCCAAAAACTGCCTGCTGCTGATTCTGAAAGAGAGGCTGAAAATTGAATTTACCAATCAGGACAGTTTTGATCTGGCCCTGGGCCTGGCGTCCTCTCCAATTTGTTTCCCTCTCATAGACACAAATGCTATTCTCTTGAGCAATCTGAGAAGTTCTTTGCAAAGTAATTCTGTTTCTGATTTGGATAGTAAATTAAGATCAAATTCTTTAAAATCCTAAAGCTAAAGTGTTTTATTGTCCCGCATAGAGACTCTCTAGACTCCCACCTTGCTCCACGTTGAATGAAACTCACCTTTGAATTACTCTATGTACTTGTGTTGTGATTAATGGTGTTGCTCCATGTGGTTCCAGTTTTCAGAACATCATTTTTCTTCAAGACTGCATGCTCCTTGGTGGTCTTTGCGTTTTCTTTCTAAAAACTGAAATTAAAATCCTCTGATACTCACATGCCTTCGCTTAATGATTAAGATGCTTTCTTAGATCTCCCTGGTAATTTACACCCAGATATTTCCACCACGGATAGTAACTGCCTATTAAAATGACCCAGCTGGGATTTTCACATAAAGCAGAAGGGAGTGAGGATGTTTTTGTTGGAGTTTTTCCTCCTCATTCCATTTAACCATTTCCTCACCTTCCTGCTGCACCCCCTTCTCACCCCTACTCCCTCATCTCAAATTTCACTTAAAGTGCTTAAAAAATGGCAACTCACTGAAATTCCACAAGCTTGCTCTCATTAATAACACTTAACGCTTTGGTGTTTATGTATTAAGGACTCAGTAGCTTTTTGTTTAAGCCTGTGTTATGTGCATCCATACCCAGTGACTGTACACAGATGAAGAATATTCTTATTGCAAATTATACATCATAAAAATTTTGTTTGTTGGTGTTTGGCTGGAGGTGGCTGATTATTACATTCTGAAATGCTACGCACACTTGGAGTGTTTATTCTGGATTTGTTTCTGTGCACTGTAAGGATCGAGTGCAGCTGAAGAATAAGCAAGATGAGCCAAGTGGGGAAACATGATGAAAAATCTTGAACCAAGCACAAGTTGTTGAAAAAAAATTTAGCACAAAGGAATGTGGCCATGGGGTGAGGTAAAATGAGAAGAATCCAGGCAAAGCCATCTCTCTACTGAGACCAGGCTGTTTCTAGAGTGTAAGTGCATTAACTTCAAGGCCAGTGCTTCAGAAAACAAGGCTGCAAATGCACCTATAATTCATAGTGAGGTAGAAATATCTTTTTTAATGATCCACCAGTCTCAGTTCTGGCTATCTATTGAAAACAGGATCTGAAAAAGATTCTTGTACACCCATATGCATTTGCGGAATTACTCACAGAAGCCAATCTGTGGGAGCAACCTGAGTGCCCCCTGACAGATGAACAGATGTAGGAAGTGGGGCATGATTGGCTCCACCTCAGAAAGGAAGAAAATCTTGGCATGGGCTGCAGTATGGATAAGCCTTGAGGATAGTGTGCTAAGTGAGTGCTCTCATCATAAAAGGCAAGTGCTGTAGGAGTCCACTTAGATGGAGTTCCTAGGGTAATCAGACTCATGGAAACAGGAAGTAGAATGGTGATCCCAAGGAGGTAAAGAGAAGGGCAATGAGGATTTGTTTGAAGATAAAAATGATCTACAGATACTGTACAGTGACCCACATGCATTTAACAGCACTATACTGTGCACATAAAAATTGCTAGGAGGGTAAAATATTGGTTTTTTTTAAAGTATATTTTAAGATTCAACAATCAAAGTCCAGAGAGATTCTTAATATAGAAGAATATTTTGTTGACCCATACATCGTGGCTATGTGGTTCTATGTATTTTTGTCCGTTCTTCAACTTCTTTTGTACCAACTTTTATATTTATCTGGTACAAATAATTCAGGGATGATAGATGTGCCCAGAAAACAGAAAAAATAGTACGAAGAGCTGATGTTGTATAGAACTAAATAGGAGAGGACGCTGGTGACAGGCAGGGAAGGAGTCCCCTTGACTACCCTGCCGTGATACAAGAGAAACTTCTGAGGCAGGATCCATCTCTGGAAACTTTGGTAGCTCTTTTCTTACCCCAGAGTGAACTTACTGTCACCCTTCTTTTTAAGGAAAGCACCTTTACACAACAGGGCTTGGTTTTCTGCCACCTCCATGCCCCTCTGTCTTTCTACTGTCAGTTCTCTTGTCAGTAATCTTTGGTAATATACTTGTCCTTATGCCAAAGAGGTATTGATTAATGTCTTCTAATAATTATAACGAGTCCAGTAACTCAGCTCTAAGCCCTGTGCACTCGCTGCAAACATGATATTAGTCCCAAGGGAATAAAGAGGGATTCTTGGCCAGGGGAGAGGATTTAAGAAAATATTAGAGCTATTCCATTGGTTTCCAGAGTATCTTATTCCATAATATTTAATTTATCTTGTTAAAGAGAGTTGCAACTTAATTTTCTTAGTGAAACAGTAATAAAACAAAGGTTTAGAACCATGGCCCTTGCAGGATGGTAATGTTATTCAGGTTCAGCTGAAGGGAACAGAATTCCAGCCAAGAAGATAAAAATGATCTGGTACTCAAATTTTGATTTAGAAAAAAAACAAAAACAGAAATGGAGAAATAGCTTTCTCCCTTGATAATGTACAAGCAGACACTCTGTGCTGCGTTTGCTAGTGAATTACACTGGACTCTTCCTATTCTTCTGTATCCATGTGAAATCTTTGGGGAAGTCTTCATTCATCATTGCAGCATTTCTGTGAAGTCTAGAAGAGTCTGCTACAGGCAAGCTTATTTTTGACCTGAAATTGCAGCTCTTCCAAGATGAACAATTTGCTGGAGATGCACAGAGACTATATATGCTTTTTTTAGCAAGGAGCATTAGGGTAATGGGGAATGAACCCAGGGCTTTCATGCTGAGCTATATTCTCAATCCTTTTAATTTATTTTATTTTATTTTATTTTATTTCAGAGTTAGGCTTTTACTAGGCTACTAAATTGCCCAAAATGAGCCTCCAAATTCAATCTTTCTGCCTCAGCCTACTAGACTGTAGGCATACAGGCATATGCTGTCACACCCAATTGGAACTTATTTCTTTATTCCTTATGCTGCCAATACCAGATTTGGTGTCTGGCTACTGATTCAACTGTTTAATTATTTATCCATGTTGGGGCAATGAAAGAACTTTAGCTTTCACTGGTCCTGTCAGTAGTGTAAAGCAATGAAGTCTTTCCAGTATAGACTTGAAGGAGATGCACCCCCTTTACCTTTCTAGCCTAGCTAGCTATGCCCTGGTTCTGATGCTGATTTTCACAGAAGTCCAACATTGATTTACACGGGCACCTTCTGGTAGGGATTTGGTCCCAGGAGTAAGGAACAAGGAACTTAAGAGGTTTCAATATCCCTCTGTTCTGCTTGTGTAAGTGTTGACATGCATAGGACTTCCCTCGGTCTCAGAGATTAAGTTTCTTTCTTTTCTCTTTCAGATTACTACAGATCTAAGGCAGCGGTGCACGGACAACCACACGGGGACATCTGCCTCAGCCCCCATGGCTGCAGGCATCATTGCACTGGCCCTGGAAGCCAAGTAAGCCTTGATCTCTATGTCTTCATGGGTGACAACCCCAATCTTCAGGAATCTTCCCATGTATAGAACCCCTAGCATAACCACCCTGAACACCTTCTCAGACCTACTTTTAAAATATCAGTGATTTAAAAATTTATAAGTCCTCAAATTAAGAAGGACTGTTCTTTGTTTTTTTAATGCTTAAAATAATCCAAGTGTGTAATGACTTTATGATAGAGTCATAATCCAAGCATGCCAATTGGCTCCCATAGCCATGTCCTGGTGAGGTTTTTATTCTAGTCTGGGAATGTTCCTGAGAGTCTCAGAGGTGAAGTTGGCCCACTCTGGTCCCTAGATCTCACAATAGCACTGTCACTGACTGACTCTGGAGGACTGAGTATGTGGAGGTCACAGAACAGGAGGCCGGGACTGGGACAGTCCACTTTGCTCAAATGCTGTTCCATACCATCAAATTCTGTGTCCAAAAGATCACGTGGAAAGGTATAGTTGAGCTGTTTGCAATAGGCTCCTCCCCCTTCTCTGAACACAAATAAGTTCATTTGTTATAATGTTTCAGAAACCTCATACAGAACGAAAATCTCTTATCCTCAATTTCAAAACCCAAAACTGAAAGTTCTTTAGGAGATTGAATACCAGATTCATTTAAGGGCAAAGCTTGCCCGGAACTGATTTCACACTATTAATGGGCTTTACTTATTCCATATATTGTGAACATTTCTGTGTTCAGCACAGAAATATTTATGTACATGATTATGAGCTGCTGGATTAGACCCCAGTGGAGGGTTTGTGTAATACATATTATGAATGCCATCTCTGAAAAATTTTTGAGTTCTAAACACATCTGATCTGAGAACTAAAAAAAAAGAAGGGTCTGTGGTCTGAGGGGCTCCCCACAGGAGGATCCGAAAGGGGCTGGAGGGCTAGAGTGATAGCATCACTACACTGCAGAAATAGCTCTGTGCACCTCCCTTTGGGGGAGCAGAATGTCACTCATGCAGTCATCCTATTGAGTAGAACAAGAGCAGTTGATGAGGAGGGAGCACAGGATGAAGAGGGTCTTGTCCTAAAGGCGCCGGTTCACTGTGCACAAATGGCTCCCTAACATCCATTGGCTCCTGGCTGAAAGACAAGGAGCCCATGTTAAGGTAGCCAGTCCTGCTTTGCTGTACTGTGCATGCAGTAAATTGCAGTTATTTAAAACTGTGCATGGAAACAGGGAGCAGAAAACAGGCTGTGAGCACGGTGCCATGTTTTTAGGTGGCCTCTCACCTAATCCTCAACAGTGGGATACAGGCAGACCCCAAGAAATGCTTGCTTGCCTTTCTTTTTGATGAGGTTAAATATGGAGTGATTTTAAACATATCTTTTATGGTGTTAAAAGTTTGGGTTTAGCAAGGAACTGGTACTTATCCTATGAATTCTCACTTGACAACTTTTCGCTAGCATGTTCTGGCAGCAGAAGTCTGAGCCAAGTTGTCTGTATGTTTAATTTGGTACACTCTAAATAGGATTTTTAAAGAATATATTGTTACCCTTCTGATATTCTAGGTTTCTTAGCTGGAATACTTCCAATCCACCAAAAAAAATCAAAAATTCTTGATGAAAAGAAGTCAGGAACTGTTCCACACCCACAAAAAGCTGTGGTCACAAACTCACTGGGCACCTCATCAGAGTCCTGGCAGCACACACACTGAGATGATCTCCGCTTCTCTCTGATATTACTAGAATACTTTTACTTTCAGCAGTCCTTTGAAGTGTCCCTTGAGCTGAAATGTAAATCCATTCTTTAGGTCCCCAACAGCCCTGTCAGGGAGAGAAGAGTGCTTTGTGCTGGGTAACATATTGACGGAGTACAGCTATCTTCTCTTCTTTTGCATGTGGAGCTCTTGCTAAGGTTTCTTTTTTTCTAAGATTCTGGGTAGAGAGAAGTTCCCCAAAGTCAAGATACCTAGAAAATCCACTGTTTCAAGATTATAGCAATCCAGTTCAGTTTTAGGACCAAAATCCATGGGAAGCTCTCTGGTAAAATAGGAAACAAATCATTCCTTGTACTTCATTGGTTTGACCTCTAGGCCAACCTATGCCTGTAAGCAAAGATGAAAATTACAGTAATGAGATCTGGGTGCCATAAAAGGGGGGGCAGGCATTAATGTTTATCCAGCAGGGCTACAGCTTGAATGAAACTTACCTAAAACTATGAGATTGTAGAGGCACTTCAGTAAGAGTGCGTCAAGGCTGCAGTTGTGCTGGAGCAAAGCCTCCCACGTGTCTGTGACCTTGTACCCAGCCCCAAGCCTGTTGAGCGCAGCTCCACTTGTGCTGTTACTTCTCAACAACACTGGAACTTGGGACTTGGAGATTCAGCTTGCACTCTCACAAGCTGAAGAGCCAGATTGACAGGATTGTTCCTGGTGCAGGGAGTGGAGGGAAAGCCACAGCAAGCAGCAGTCAGACTTGGGAACACTGCCTTCCCTCCTGATGGGTATGGCCTGCTTCATCAGGATTTGTTGAGTAACTGGTTGGGTTGAGGGTGGCTTGTTCATTTAATTGCATACCCTGTGTATTGCTACTCCAAAGGGGAAAATTGTTGTTTCTCTCTGCTTGGCACTAGATTATTTATTTAGCATTGGGACACCAGGGAAAAATCCACATCCTGAGCTTTCCCCCAGACTAATTCCTTTATGTCCTGGCCACTTGCCAGGATCAGTAAAACTGGGAGTCCTGTTATGAATGCTACTTCTTCCCATGGCCCCTTGGCAAAGAAAACTAACACAAAACCTAGAGAATGAGGAAGGCTTAAAATGTCCCTTCTCCCTTATCCAAACTTAGTAACTCTTTGGTCATGAAATAACTTTGTTGTGGCAGCACACAGGACTCCCAAAACATATTTTTCTCTAAAGGGAAATGTGTTGCAGTACACGTTGCAACAAACTCCCTTATAAGACTTGGCCAGATTCCTTCATGACAGTGCAAGGTTCTCCACACCCACGGGATCAGTGTGCATGAATTCTGCCAACCACAGGTCTCAAAATAGTCCACAAAAGCTTTACATCTGTATCAAACCATCATAGACTTTTCTTGACATTATTCCCTAGACAATAAACATAGCAACCAGTAAATTAGCATTACGTTGAATTAGGGATTCTAAGTTATCTAGAGATTGGGTGAAGCAGGCAAGGAAATCTGTGTAGGTTATGTGTAAATACTGCACCCTTGGGTGCAGTGAGATGAATACCAAGGCAAGCTGAGGTGTAAGCGGCCCTGGAATGAAGCATCCGCAGCTAGATATGGGAATGGCTCTCCTCTTCCAAGGTTGGAGTGAGGCTCAGTTGCACTGCCTCTTATCTTTTCTGGCCGGGTTTGAGCCTCTTTGGTTTCTGTACATGTAGCTTTATAGGCCCCTCTGTCACTCTCATCTTGAATCTGGCCTCCTTGGTAAGTTGGGCCATTTCCTCCATGTTCCCTTATGCATAAGCTATTTCATAATAAATAAAAATACTCTAAATGTTTTTAATTCAATTGAAATAAATAAATATGCTGTACTGGCCCCACCCCCAAGGTGCACTGAGCCGGCAGTCGAGCCTGGGCGTCCTAGTGGCACACCCCTGTAATCCCAGCTCTTGGGAGGCTATAAACAGGAGAATCTGGTGAGACCCTGAACACCCTGTAGACCCTTCCCTAAAATATAGAAAATTAATACATACATAAATAAATAAAAATACTGGCCTCTCAAAAGGGAGGATAATTTTCACATTGTTGTACCCTCAGCAGGTATTTATTCTTTTAGAAAGTTTATAGTATTTCCATGTTTTATCTTTTTTATTTATTTTTTTTTTTTTTTAGTATTTCCATGTTTTATCTTTTTTATTATTTTTTTTTTTTAGTGATTTTCTACTTTCTCAGCCCAATGAACAAAGAGTGTGTAACCAGTAATTATAAGGAAGTAATTATCATTCAGGTCATTGCCACATGAAATATATACAATATTCACACTCTAAAATTTTAAGCAAAATGAGTGTACTGGGAAACAGATTTCTTACAGTGGAAAGTACTGAGAGATGATTGTACACATTTTAGATTAGCAACCTGGGAGAACACCAAGTCACGTTTGCAAGGTGCTTTGTACCTAGATCCTTGTATCCGTGATTGGTGCTTTGGATTCACAGGGAAAGAGGGAGAAAAAGAAGATACTTCAAAGCAAATGATGTTTCACATAAAATGCCTTATAAAACTGAAACAACCAGCATTCATGAAAGTAGAAGGCTCAAAACAGTGTTTTGCTAGAAGTCGTCCTAACCAGAGTCTGCAGTTACTACAAAAGAGCAGCTATTTTAGTGGAATATTTTGTACATTAAAATGTCAACATTAACTCAGTAAACTCAGAATTCAAGTTCAACAAAGAAACTTTTTATCTTAAATTTCAAAGGCTTTTTTTTTTTTCCACTAGAAAATCACTGTGCCCATACATATTCAGCAACCACGAAATGTTGTTCTGCAGAGCAAAGGGTGAATAAAAGGACAGAGTCAGATAGGAACTTCTTGTTTAGGACCCACAAGTGTAATGGTAGAAAAAAAATCTACAAATCCTGGTATAAGTGATTGGAAAATCTTATCCTCAAATTTCACATCTAAGGGATCACAGGAGTACCTTACTTGGAGAAAACCCAATTTATCTACAACTAAATTTAGAAAAGAAACAAATTGGATAGCAGCTTTTACTCTCTACCAAAAAAGTATCTGGCCACCTTCTTTTTATTACTTCTGTTCCCCTCTGTTACAATTATCCTGTGGTCACTGCTTGTAGAATATACCATAGATAGACATAAAATATACATTGAATATTCAGAATATAGAATATAATTCTAGGTCATTTAGACAGTTTTTACTTTACTCAGTATTTTTATGTGTAATATCTTCCTTCCAACAAGACTTAAACTCCTTGGAAATAAAGATTTTATCTTAAATCTTTAGGTATGTAATAGATATACTGGAAACCAGAG